AGGGCAGGGCGGGACGGCAAGTAGGGAGGTTACGGGGGGGGGGGGGGGGGGAGGGCCGACGCGCGGCCTCCCAGGGCGCCAAAACAGGCGGCAGAAGGGGCGGCGCTCGCCCCCCTCCCCCAGGTCGCCTCGACAGGCGACGGGAAAAGGGGGGGGGGGGGGGGGGGGGGGGGCGGTGCACGTGCCCCCGGTGCGCCGCGACTGGCGACGAAGCATGGCCGAGGCGGGGCCGGGGCAGGGTCGAGGAAGGGCCGAAAGGGGCGGCGACGGGGCCGCAAGTGGCGGCGACGGGGCCGCTGGAGGCGGCGACGGGGCCGATAGGGGTGGCGACGGGGCCGCTAGGGTCGGCGACGGGGCCGCTGGCGGCGACGGGGCAGCTAGGGTCGGCGACGGGGCCGCTGGCGGCGGCGACGGGGCCGTTAGGGGCGGCGACGGGGCCGCTGGCGGCGGCGACGGGGCCGATAGGGGCGGCGACGGGGCCACTAGGGTCGGCGACGGGGCCGCTCGCGGCGGCGACGGGGCCGATAGGGGCGGTGACGGGGCCGCGAATGGGCCGCGAGGGGCCTGAGAGGTCGGCGACGGGGCCGCTGGTGGCGGCAACGGGACCGCTAGGGGCGGCGACGGGCCGTGAAAGGGGCGGCGACGGGGCCGCGAAGGGGCCGCGAGGGGCCTGGAAGGGCGGCAACGGGGCCGCTAAGAGTAGCGCGAGGGGCACGCCACAGGGCGTGCAGTACACAGAGTAGCAGCGGAAGTAGTTAGGTGGGCCCACAGGCCAGGAGTGTAGATGCTCTGATACCATGTGAAGAAATGAGGAATGAAGAAGGGAGGGCGTTCACTAGCAAACATTGGGATACATATAGCAAACCCTAAAAGGGTTGTACTCGCTATAGAGTACCCCACTGCAGACTAGAGAAACATAATATTCTGACATTTCACACCCCTTGCCGCACCCCTTGCCGCACCCCTAGTTTCACTCCCCCTCGGCTCCCACACATCCACCCCCCTTCAGCGGCAGCTGCAGCAGTGGGAGACGAAGTAGGAGGAGAAGGAGGGGAAGGGTGGCACCCACACTCATCACCTCCACACCCGCCACCCCCATACCCTCCCCCCACGGCTGCACAGGGTCCAGGAGCAGCGTCGCGGGCAGCTGCAGGGTCGGCTGATGCAGGGGCGGCTGCTCCAGGGGCCAGGGGCGGCTGCTGCAAGGGCGGCTGCTCCAGGGGCCAGGGGCGGCTGGTGCAGGGGCGGCTGCTCCAGGGGCCAAGGGCGGCTGGTGCAGGGGCACCTGCTCCAGGGGCCAGGGGCGGCTGCTGCAAGGGCGGCTGCTCCAGTGGCCAGGGGCGGCTGCTCCAGGGGCCAGGGGCGGCTGCAGGTGCGGCTGCTCTAGGGGCCAGGGGCGGCTGCTCCAGTGGCCAGGGGCGGCTGCTCCGGTGCAGGGCAGGCCCGCGCGTTGCTGCAAAGCAGGCGCGGGCGCAGGGGAGGCAGAGGCGGCGGCCAGGGGGGGGGGGTGCGCCGCGACGAGTAGGAACAGCGCCCCGCGGGTCCCGCAGGGGCGTCGCGACGAGCAAGGCAACGCCGCGCGGGTCCCGCAGGGGCGTCGCGACGAGCAGGAGTGGCGACGCACGGGTCCCGCAGAGGCGTCGCGACGAGCAGGAGCGGCGCCTCTGCGGGACGCCGCGAAGGGCAGGGTACGGGCGGGCAGAACGACCCGCGCGCGGACAGGAAGACGCCGCGCGCCCGGGGCGCACGGCGGGCAGAAAACCGCCGTGCTCCCCGAGCACACGGCGGCAGAAAATCGCCGCGCGTCTGAGACGCGCGGCAGGATGACAGGCAGCGGAAGCATGGGCCCACAGGCCAGGAGTATAAATGCTCTGATAGCATGTTAAGATACTAAGTACAGCTAGGCTTAGGAGCCATAGCTTTAGTGGCTTAGTAGTTGAAGTTTAGGGTCGAAGGGGAATGTCAAGAGAGTTGCAAGGAGAAAAGGATGGTTTCACTATAGGCTCAAGGGTACAAATATGAAAGAAGAGAAGAAAGGTGCACCACCTAACAAGAAAGATAACTATACTAAGTCTACATTGCAGGCAGTTATAAAGTAATGTATACAATTACATTCTGACACTTGTTCCCCACAGATGAAGCCTACACAGCTGCAAAGGCTTAGAGGAAGATTCCAGGCTCAGGAGAAGCTGTCTGAGCCTCGGATAAAACCTTCTAACCCTACTCAGGTGATACCTGATATTGAGACAGTAGCTTCAAGCGCAGGACCAAGGGATGACATATTCGACGTACCCTACGATCCTATAAGCGATACCATCTACGGCTAGTCAGAGTAGTAGCAGCCACTACTCCTCGAGGTGATCTGCAACGGGCGTCGCCTCCAGGCCCTAGTGGACGGTGGTGTGTCCGACTCGGTGTGCGACCGCGGGACCTTGGAGAAAATTGGAGAATCTTCGGAGGAGACCAAGTTCACAGCAACAATGGTGGACGGTACGAAACTTCCCATCCACGGCGAAGCATCACTGCAGCTGCACATAGGGGCGCTGAGGTGGAAGCCAACGTTGCCAATCACGAACATCAAGGGTTTAGATTTCATCTTGGGTCGAGATTTCCTGAAGCGGTTCAACCCCGAGATCGACTGGGTCAACAGGAAGGCGTGCATCCACAACAACGGGAAACGAGTGGAGCTGCGAAGTTGGACGGATACAGGGAGCGTTCCTAAAACGACACTGGCACGGTTCGAACGGACGGTGAACGAGAGTAATACGGTGTGTTTTAGCACTGGTTATGGTAGCAGCAGAGGAGGAGAAGCCAAACACGGAGCTACCTGGAGCAGTGAAGGAGGTCTTGGAGCAGTACATGGATATAATGCCTAACGACCTACCCGCAGGCGTACCTCCAGCACGCACCCACGAGCACGAGATCATGGAGGAACCAGGTGCGAAACCCGTCTCACGTGCACCATACCGACAGAGTTCGACCAAACAGACAGATATGAAGAAGCAGATAGAATATGTACCGGACAGACAACTGATCCGCTCATCCACCTCTCCCAACGGTGCACCAGTTCTCTTCACTCCAAAACCAGACGGCAGTTTACGGATGTGCATCGACTATCGCGCACTGAACAAACAGAACTTCCACTACAACAGACGCGTTGAGCCGCCCCGGTCATGTAGCAGGCATCCAGCTCGATGGGATCAATTCCAACATGGATACTCCGTGGACGCAAAGATTGCTACAGCAGAGACTAAGAAGCTGTTACAGTGGGAGAAAGACTTAGCTGTAAGAAAGGGTTAAGGAAAGATTTGGGTACCAAATTATGCCCCGCTACGGCAGATCCTATTGGAGGAGTTTCATGAAGTACCATACGCGGACAATTTGGGAGAAACAAGACATTAGCGGGAATAGCAAAGTAAATATTGGCCTGGGATGGCAGCATACGTGCAGTAGTTCGTCACCTCTTGCGACATATGCCAGCGGATGAAGAGTAGCAAGCAGAAAAAAGCAGGGTTACTTCAGCCTCTACCCGTATCGGAGCAGCCATGGCAGGTCGTTAGCCTCGACTTTATCACAAGACTTCCCTCGACCTCACGAGGACACGATTCTATCCTCGTACTGATCGACAAGTTCTCCAAAATGGGTCACATCATTCCGACCAACGCCACAGCTACAGCTGAAGCAACTGCCCACCTCTTCTTCGACCGCATCATAACCATCCACGGCATCCCCGCTACACTCATCTCAGACAGAGACCCTAAATTCACGAGTAAGTTCTGGAAGGAGCTCATGGGATTATTGGGGACTAAACTTGCAATGTCCTCGGCATACCACCCACAGACTGACGAACAGATAGAGCGACTCAATCAGGTGGTTGAACAGTTATCGCGTACAGCTTGCAAAGACGATGTCAGCCACTGGGACACACAGTTACCGACCCTAGAGTTCGCTTACAACAACGCGTCACATGCGGCCATAGGGAAAACTTCTTTCTTCCTGTGTTACGGACGGGAACCACTTACACCATAGCAGCCAACCACACCAGCACAGCCCAAGCCGCACATGAATTCGTCACCACCATGCAGCAGCTATGGGAGAAGACTCAGCGACATCTCACCACAATGCAGAACTCCCAGAAGCAGTATGCCGATCGCCAGCGACGTGACCACACCATAGCAGTCGGAGATCAGATGCTTCTCGACACGCGCAACATGAAACTGTCTCATCTAACATCCAAGCTCCGGCCTCGCTTCTATGGTCCTTTTTGCGTTGAGGCACAGGTGACACCAGTAACATTCTGCTTGCGCTTACCTAGTACGTGGAAGCTTCACAACGCTTTCCATGTTCAGCTATTGAAGCCCTACAAGGACCCCAACCAAAGGTTCCAGAAACGCCAACTACCGCCACCACCACCTGTTCTCATACAGGATGAACCAAAGTACAAGGTGGAAAATGTTCTCGCTCATCGACGCCGACGCGGCAACACGCTCGAGTTCCTGATACGCTGGAAGGGATATGACCCATCGGAGGACAGTTGGGTTGCAGAAGCTGATATGGGCAATGCACGATGTGCTCTCAAGGACTATTTTGTTACGTAGGGTGTTTCTCACACCACCCAGCTTTGAGAGGGAGACGTGTGAGAGTACGACGGCTTATGCTGGCTTTGCTAGCTTGCCTAGACTATATTATGCTATATCTAGCTTGGGTTTTAATTAGCGTGCATAGATATGCTTGATTTTCTAGGTTAGGTGCATTCCTATATTTTATTATAGTTATAGCACCAAACCAGGTTACGTGTACCGAACTCAAGCCTATTCGGTTTCCACTGAATTGCTTTCTACTGAGTGCGGGAAGGTTCTGTTCAGGGCGCTTCGCGACCCTCAGAACATTCGCGTAACACCTGGGTTACCTGCCTTGTGTCGAGCCTATATATAGCCTCATGTTGTACCCAGGTGAATAATTGAATTCAAACTCTCTTTTCTGAGCTTGATCCTAGATCCTCACATCCCCTCTCCCCCCCCTGCGCCCACTCCTCCCCCTGCTCCCACTCCTCCCCCTACTCCGAGCCCTAACCATGCTCGGCGCATCCCCATTTTCTCCCCTCCCAGAACACCCTCCCCCGTCCCCATTTCACCCCAAGCTCCCACTCCCCCCCCTGCCTCCACTCCCCAGATCAAACTCGCGCCCCCTCCACCCCCTGCTCCACCTCCACCCCCTGCTCCCCCAAACCCCCCTGCTCCCAGCCTGCTTGTTTCACTCAGCCCTCCGCTTGCTACTCGCCCACCTGTTGCCCTCAATCCTCCTCCTACTCCCAGCCCATGACTTGCCCTCAGCCCTCCTGTTGCTCCCAGCACATCACCTCCTGGCATTCTTGCCTGGGCAGCCCCTCCCTCCTCTGCCCCAGTTTCCCCTCCTGCTCCCACTCCCTCCCTTGCTCCCATTCCTCCCCCCGCTCCCACTCCCCCCCGCGCTCCCAATCCTTCCCCTGCATCCACTTCCGTTCCTCCCTCCGCTTCTATTCTGAACCCAGCTCCCTGTCCCCCGCTTGCCCGCTCCGCTTCGCCTATGTCTAATCCGGCCAGTCTGCCCATTTCTCCTTGCCAGAAAACATTGCGTTCGTTGATGCGCTTGGGGTGCTCTGACCCGTTTGTCTTTGCAGCAATATACCATCGTCGAAGCACACCATTCATCCCCACAAAAGCCACAGCATCTCGCAGGCTTTGGATAAAAAGAAGAGTGACATAGAGCTTGACCCGGTAGTGGACATCCGCCATGGATGTCTTTATACTCGCTGCGTTCCTCGGAGATGTGTTCGCGTCATCTGTGTGTGTCTGCAAGAGGGAAGACAAGAAGAAGCTGAGCGGCATGATTTCAGCACGAGGAATAGTCCAGAGACACGAGGGATTTGTGGTAACCCTGTTGCACCTTCACAGCATACACTAACAGAGCAGAGTGTGAGACAAAGAAAGATGTTTGAGAGCATAAGGTGGAGAATTTGTCCAACGAGATAGAAAAAAACACAGAGAATTGGGCGGTAAGGTCCTTACTCTCCTGCCTGAAGGTAACACTACGCTACAGCACGCTCGCTATAGCTGCCATATTTTAGCCGTCCAGCGACCCGCTGCTGCGACCACTGGCCCTAGAACCTTGAACGGGACTGGACATACTAAGGCAACGCCTTGTGCCGGCACTGCCTGCTTCTCGGACCCCTGAAGTTGGGTTGCCACCAGCCCTGTCCTTGTTGCAGTCACAATAGGCTCCAATGTGCCTAAAACGAAAGATAGAGTGCACAGCCGGATTTCTGCACAGCGGCTTCAAACGTTCATAGCGTTCTGGTCACAACTTCAAATGACCTGATTCAAATTGGATCTGGAGCTTCTGAACGTCGCCTACAATAGGCAATTTAGATCGCACAATTTCACCAAGTATTGACGACACAGTGTTGGTTTGAACGAACGGCACTATGGCAGCCACTATAGTCTTAGAACAAAAAATAGGAAGAGATATGAAGAGTTACGAGTTGGGAATGACTCCCAGCTCCTACAAACCCCAAGAGCCGAGGTACTGTGATGTGGAACAGTGCCACACTGTCCCCAACCACGAAGGGTCTCGAAACTACCCTTCACTAGGGCCTACACCAAGTGAAATGTTACACTACACAAAGTAATGTAACTATCTTCAATATCTTGAGGTGTACCCTTTTGGCGAGCTTCGAAATCACTTGAGGCTTGACACCAAGGCTCGAGCTCTTCATCACAAACTCATCCTTGAGTTCTTGATGGGTCTGCTGCACACACCTGCGACACACCGAACGTTCGACTCAGGACAAAATAGAAACCGCGCACGACAAAAATAGAAACCGCGCGCGAGACACAAACGACCGCGTAACACGCGTCTAGCGATAACTCGCTATTGACTCGACACACACACTCGACATCATGATTCAACATTCACACAAAATTATAAGCATGAAATATATATTATCCCATGCCCTCATACCATTCCATACACACACACATGCACGCACACGGACAACAAGCCGAGTGCAAACCGTAGGGTTGCACCAACAAACTCCCCCTCGGATTGTTGGCCTTAGGATACGTTGCTCTCTCAGTTCAGAGCCATCCCAGCCAGCTTGCAACACTTCCAATGCTGCTGCTCCACCAGCCTCTTAGTCATCATGTCAGCCGGCTGCCCCGTGGTCTTCACGTACCGCAACTCAACTTCACCCGCGGTCACCATGCTCCTCGTCCAATGCCACTTCACCCTCATGTGCTTTGTGAGTCCATGCAACACAGGGTTCTTAGCAAGAACAATGGCACCCTGGCTGTCACAGTAGAGTGGGGTAGGTCCTTGCTGCTCCTCCCCCAATTCAGCCAACAAACGCCGCTGCCACACAATCTCCCGTACGGCATGGAAGAGTGCCATGTACTCGGACTCCACTGAGCTCAAAGCTTGGTCAACCTGCTTCTTGCTCTCCCAAGCAGTTGGGCCTCCACCAACACAGCATATGAAGCCTCCCACACTTGTCATATCCTCTGGTTCTGATGCATATGACGCATCCGAGTAGGCGGTGAGGAACAAACGCCCGGGTTCAACACCATCCGCGCCCTTTTGGCGCCTTTGTGCCGCCGCCGAGTATTGCAGCCCAACGGTCGGTGTTTGGCCAAGATACTTGGCCACCCTCATTCCAGCTGCTACCTGCTCCTCATTAGGGCATTGCACAACCCTAGCCAGCTGCCCGGTAGCAAACGCGACGTCCGGTCGGGTGTTTACCGCCGCATACATGAGGCTGCCCACCAACGAGTGAAAACGGCGCCTCTCCTCTTCACAAACGCTCTCCTCCTCTGGTCCCTTCACACACTTGAACCCAGAGGGAAAGAGAGTAGCCACATGACCTTCACTCTGGCCGAAGTTGGCAGCCAACGCCTCCAGGTACTTCCGTTGGTGCACTCGCATGCTCCGCTTCTCCACGTCTCGTTCGATGTGGAGCCCAAGGTAGAAGTTCACGTCACCAAGGGACTTGCACTTGAACTTGTCATGCAGCTTCAGCATCACCTCCTTCACAAGGTCAGAGGAGGGTGAGAATATGAGAATGTCATCCACATAAACCACCATGAAGCTCCTCTGCTCCCCCTCGCCAAGCATGAACAAGGAGTGATCGGCCGTTGAGGGAGTGAAGCCGATCCCCTCCAACACTTTGCGCAGCTTCATGTACCATTGCCTAGGGGCCTGCTTCAGCCCATAGAGGGCCTTCTTCAGCTTCCACACTCAGCCACTACCATCATCAAACCCCTCTGGCTGCGCCATAAAAATCTCCTCCTCAAGGATGCCGTTAAGGAATGCCGTTACGATGTCCATTTGTTTTACTACCCATCCTTTGATGGCGGCTCCCGCGAATAGGGTTCGCAGCGTCGTCGGCTTCACCACAGAGGCAAACAGCTCCTTAAAGTCCACCTTCTCCTTCTGCTGGTACCCCTTGGCTACAAGCCTAGACTTGTAGCGCTCGATCTTGCCGTCGGCATCCGACTTGATTTTGAAGATCCACTTGGACGTTATCGCCGTACGCCCCTCCGGTAGCTCCACCAATTCAAACGTATCATTCTCCTTGATGCTCTTTAGCTCACTCTCCATGGCCTTCTTCCACTTCTTAGCATCACTACTCTCCAAGGCCTCCTTGAGAGTTGCTGGTTCTCCCGGCATCTCCACCGGAGAGAAGAACGCGAAGGCACACTCCTCGTAGTCACTCTCCTCGTCGTCTCCGACCATCATTGCCGCTCCGGCCAGGGCTGTCTTGCCCTGGTTTCCCAGCGCATCATAGGTCAGCCTATTAGGGGGTTGAACTCTCCTCTTGCCCCTTCCTTCCTCCTCAGCTGCAGGGACTTGAAGGCCTTGGCGTTGCTGCGGTGTGGCTCGAATCCGTGGAGCACTCGTAGTACGGGAAGGGAGTGACGGTGCATGCTCGCTCACTTGCTGCACCTCCTCCTCTTCTTCCTCTGCATCATTGGCCTCCTCTCCCCCATTCACAAGGGAGGATTGCCTTGTGGTTGTGCTGCCACTGCTCAGCTCCAAAGGCAGCTCCACATGCTCCAAACCGGAACTCTTCACCTCCCCAAACCGCACGCCTATCTTCGCCTCATTCTCCGCCTTCCAATCCTTGTACATGAAGTTCTCCATGAACTTGCAGTCCCTGCTCACCAAGAACTTCTTGGTGAATGGGTCCCAAAGAAGCCATCCCTTGCTGTTTTGAGCCATGCCCAAGTGCACGGCCCACACCGCCTTGGCACCAAGCTTGTTGTGCCGAAGAAGCTTAGGCACGAGCGCCATGCACATGCACCCGAACACCCGAAGCATATCCACCTTTGGCTTCCTTCCTAGCCACTCCACATAGGGCACCCATTTGTCTGCTCCCACATGAGTCAAGGCTCGGTTCTTGGCCACACACGCGCTCCGCACCGCATCAGGCCAGAAGTAGTCGAGTAGCCCGGCTTCAATGAGCAGCCCGCGTGCCGCCTCCGTGATTGTGCGGTTCGCTCGCTCAGCGATGCCGTTCATTGCAGGGGGGTATGGCATGGTGAGGGAGTGCCGAATACCATTCTTCTTCAGCCACAACCCAAACTCCTTGCTCAGGAACTCTCCCCCTCGATCGGTGCGGATTGACTTGACTAGACGGTCTTGTTGCCGCTCCACCATCGGGAACCAATCCGCCTTCAACGTTTCAGCCACGTCGCTCTTCTTGGCCAGCACGTACACCCAGGTCATACGGGTGTAGACGTCCACAATAGTGAGGAAGTACTCAGCTCCAGCAGCTCCAAGCTTCAGGGGGCCCACCACGTCCATCACCACCTCATCAAGTGGTGCCTTAGCCGTTGCCTCCGAACTAGAGAATGGGAAACAGATGAACTTGGCTTGCATGCACGTCGGGCAGCCAAGTACCTCATCGGGCTCCCCCTTCACACGTATGCCAGCAACCATCTCATTCTTTACTAGCTGCTGAAAAATGGGCAGGGCCACATGCCCCATGCGCGGATGCAAGGTGAGCCAATCACACTCCCCCGTAGCCGAAGTTGGATTGGAGAATGCCGCGCTCGCAATAGCGCCCCACATACTCTCTCCGTAGTCCTCCTCCACTACTGCCTCGGGGTTCTCCTCACCCTTTTGCTGCTCCTTGGCTGCTGCACCTCTCTCCATAGGTTCACCAAGCTTGCTGGTCCCTCCAAGATTGCACTTCTTGGACTCCTTCTCCTTAGCGCGACCGTCCGCGCAATCGCCGCTACCAACCGCTCCACCTTTGGTGCTGACGCTTGCTGCCACTTGCCTCTCCTGAGGCATTGGGACCACAGGGATCTGCCACATCTCGTTATAGACATCTCTGTCCTCATGAAGGTCCCAAAGAATCCGATCGCCAAGCCTTGCGGTGTAGGTCTTGGCTCCCTTTGAGTTAGTGTCCATGCCGGCCTTTGCCAACCGCCGCACGGAAATCAGGTTTGCAGCAAGGCTGGGCACCCAAAGCACGTTCTTGAGGCCCACCATCTTCCCATCAGCACCCTTGAACATGGCCTTCCCCATGCCTTTCACCTCTGCTCGCTGC